TTGCATTGCAAGACCGTGAGCAAATTGTGATGGCTTGGTGAGGTTTTCATCTAGCAGTGAATAGATCATGGGTGATAATGATTCAGGATCAAAGCATTAGAGAGCTCAGCTGTGTACTTAACGTGTACAAATACTAAATTAATGTGTACATTGGTGTTTAATCTCCAGGTTCTGGGTCCTAGATGATCACTTCTCGAGTTACCATCTTACTAATTTGCATTAACGTCCAACATTTGTATTCACATGCTTGAATTATTGTTTGATGCTGAAGAAGCCACACGGGCTTTTCCGTCATTGAAAGTACACATGTCGGGACTTATTTTAAGTGTGACCTCTGTGACCTGAACATGGTCGTTTCGTGTCACGTTCCAGGTCATACATCAAATAGAAAATAGTTGGGAGACATCAACTGCTGGGCGGGGGGGGGGGGAATATGCCTTCCTGATTCCCCTGAAGATCTAATCTTGATATTTACCGAGTTGAAATGAACACATGCTCTTTCACATGGAGGGTTCGTGGCTGAATTAAATGCTTAGTGCAACGTGGTTCATGCCGAGGTAAACAATTGCCCACGCGTGGTCATAAGATGATAGTAACCCACCATCGTTCCACATATAACAGTCTGATCAAGCTGGTGAATGCAATTAAGCCGATGCTTTCAAAAGACGCAACAATATTTCATAGTTATTACAGTATAGCAATGGCATGCGAAGAGTGGGTCACGTGTGCCGACGTGACGGTCCAAATTGGAAAGAAAACAAATGCTGCCAAATTACTTTAGTGAAATCGCGTCGCGATGTGGCCCCATGTTATTGGCAGAGCATCCTTGACCGTGAAACACAGCACCCTCTTCATAGCCCTATGCTACGAGAATGGTACAAAATACCACATCTGGCGATTGAATGATTGACGTCAGTTGCAGAGACAACGTCGGTGGTACGCCTATCTGTGTGTTTCTTCTCTCTCGCTGGATCTGAGCAACGCAGTCAGACAACGCAATGGATGTAACACCTAGCAGTAGCAGTAGTGGGGCTTTGGCGACCAATGTCGTTACGCATAATAGATGAGTTTGGGTTAGAATCGCGTAAATATAAATGGGTCGTTGAACGCGCCACCACCCGACGCAGCCAATTTGCGAGGTCTGCCACGTACACAAAACGTACCGAATTCGTTACTACTACAGCAGAGTAAACCCACGACATTTACAATTTTTTTCTGTGGTAAATGTCGTGGGTTTACTCTCCAACACACAACCGGTGTGCTGCACTAGTAACGAATTGGCATCTTCTGTTTACGTGACAAACCTTACTTATTTGGATGCGTCGGGTGGTGGCGGGGCTTAACGACACATTTATACTTACGCGATCTTACCGAAAAAAGCAATGAATGTCGTCAAATGGCTACCGTTCGTATGGGGTCAAAAAACACCTCTCCCTCGTTGTAGCAAAAGAAAACTTGGACGGATTTGTCCTCACACTGAGCCGTACGAACACTCTCTTGATTAATTTTGACAGTGCCACGCTTTTGGGCCAAGACCAACATAAGAAGTCAACGCAACATTTTCCGACTACTCCAAGGGGTAGAGTTTCAGTTATATATATTTTTTTACTTTATGCCGAAGCTTCTTTAATGAAATCCATTTTAAACATTTAAAAAAAATATCGTAAAAAAGGTCTAGTTTCCCACCACCTCTCCCCTTCCCTCATTTTCACACGCGGAATGAAATACCGTCTGACTCGCCTTCCTGCCCTTTTTAATGCCGCTGAGAGTATTTGCGGCGATGAGCGTTGATAGTCGTCTCGTTGATCCGCATGCAGCACAGGAACTAGGATTGCTCGAGTACAGGGCAGTGAATGCTCACACGTCATCGCTGCGCCATGTGAGACAGCGAGAACATTGTTTGAATCGTCGTGTTTCAACACAAATCATTCATTCATTCATAATACAGAGTGGCCGAAATGTTAAATGTCAAGTGCAATAGCCGGCCATCCGTTTGGCCCTGTTGTTTCACAGGCGGTATCCGGGTCAGCGCAGCCCATAGGTTCATCCTGAGATGAGTAAACAGCAGCGGACGCAAATCAGTTCCACTTTATTAAGAGGAGGATTGCGTGAGTTCGGTGTGGGAGGGCTCACACCAGCATTGTATCAAGGGATTATATTAAACAGGAGATGGGGGTGGATCGCAAGAAGTATTTTTTTTATAAAGTATTTGCGGGGAGGGAGAGGCCAGCAGTGGTCAAATCTATGAATTCTTAAACAACAGAGAGTGTCTCCACTAGTCACCCTATTTGCAGGGCTTGTTCAGCAAGGGGCGACCGTTCCATCGGAGGGGGAGGCAGCGTGCACCAGTGGATTACTTGGGGATTCTTAAACACGAGGAGGCTCTCCCCATTCGTGGGCAGTGGAATATCTCAAGAATTCGAACCACAACGCCCCACAGTGCCAGTCACTGTTGTTGACCAATTTAAACAACCGCCTGGGGGACAATTTAATTAAGTTAGGGGGGAAGATACATTTTGCTTCCTCTCCCCGACCCCCCTCTTTCCCATGACCAGGCCGATGACTCAGCTTGTAATTGTTAAACATTACTGCTCGTGAAAACAAGCGGGCACTGCCAGTGCCTTGTGGTCCGCACTCTTGAAGCCCCGTGGCCTGAGTTCGAAGTTTGGTCAAACCACCCCCCCGTGACCGACACAATTTGAGAAGGCATTAATCCAGCAGTGCGTTGACGAAAGGGCTGCAATTCATTATAATTTTTGTTTTAAACCAGTGGCCTGGAAGCTTGCTCAAACGCGTACCACATGCCACCTACTGGATAAATAGCATATACGTTACAATTCCTTGTTCATAACGGAGCAGAAGAGCACTGTCATACTTTAGGTGTTCAATCTGGATCTATTTTTAAGCGGCTATTTTTTTTATATGTATAAAAAGTCGTGTCAAATGAGCGAGTCATCGCAGCCCACAAGACAAATCCACAAAAGCACTTTGCAACAACATCACAACTCGCCTGGCGTTTGCCCGACGTCTGTTCGTTACTCAATATGAATTCCGCAAACACGTGTGTGACATTTACCAAACGGGGAATCGGAGCTAAATGAATTCCGAAACCGAGCAATGAAGGTCACGATGCTTAACGTTACATCGGAACGTTGGCAAACAGCTCCCGATGCCATGTGGGTGAGGTTAATTGCAACAGCAGTACGGCCTTGTTTTTGCAAGCCGGTGCGACGGAGTCAATGCACATGCCGCCGCGCGAAAACTGTCGCTAAACATTTTCTCATGATCCATGGAAATGTTGGTGAATACATCCTTCCAATAACACGTACGTCACAGGCATGTTGCACACGCACGCGCGCACACGCACGCACACGCACACGCACGCACGCAGCCGCACGTAAATAAACGTTTTTAAAGAGCCCCAAGTGTTCACATTTCCAACCGTATCCTGTTTACTGTTTTATACGCAGGGCACAATCACCAGTTTGGTCAATTTGAAGGTCATACGTTATTCTAAATGCAAAACCCCCTTATTTTCGCGAAGTCGTTTAGTAAGCAAACGGCTATAACTGTCCGCACCGTAGTAGATTCGGAGTGCCTAAAAATATGCTGGTCCAGTACAAAAATAATCCTCACCAGAGACCAGACACCCATGTATCCATGGTCAGCATAAGACAGCACTGGAAATGTAATACGTTTAATGAGTTACAGCGGTTTCCTCTCAAATATGAACCTTTGAAGCAGCGCATGCTGACCTCCCCGTCCACTTGCGCCGCTAATGGGCGTTGATTTATGAGGCCCCCCCTCGACTGTGTATTATTTTACCCATATTCTTTTTTAGTTCAACCTTGGCCTGTTTATTAGTTACAACCAATCGGTGCCCTCCGTTGGGGGCTCAGCCACATTAACTTGAACTTATGAATATGAATAGTTTTTTTCGTAGAAATAATATTGGCATTTTAGCGTGTTTACAAAGAGAAGCAGCGAGGCGTAAAACAGATAAGGAGGAAAATGTTTTCCCAGTATCTAATCTGGTCACCGCACGAAAGTTATAATTAATGTTTTTCAAAATATTGCCTGTGACCTTTGTGCAGATCCCCATTAACTTGTTACTTTTTTCTTTTTAATCGGAATTGGTGCACGGTGGTCCCACGTGGCATGACCGGTTGTGATGCACGTGGTGAGGGCACTCATAGCAACACAAAACGTGCCGCTTTCCATTTTGGAGCTGTTGTTGTTTAACGGCCAACACTGGTGCCATGTGATGGTGATTTACACGGTGTTTTATGGTCCGATTCAGATTATAGCTCTCCAGTGTTGGTTAGAATCTATCACGTGCAGCTTGTCTACAAAAATGCTGTTCTAAATATGAATTTATTGACAACAATACAAAGGGTCTTCCTATTATTTTCAAAGAACCTGAATGCCAGGAAATGTTTAAGGCAGCACGTGGCATGATTAACGCCACTTCAAGTGAGTTCGGTAAATATATTTTTGCAAAACAACATTCAGCAGCACAGTACAACCACGCTTGCCAATTGCACAATAACCATTGGTGTCCCACCAGCTTCCATCCAAAGCATTTGGCCCATCCCAAAAAAGTTTGGGAAAAGGAGAACGGTCAGCCAGCCAGCCAATGTGTAGGGGGGGGGGGCATCAAGGGTACAGGTTAGTGACCGTGTCTATATAAGACCAGAAGTAGGTGAATCTCTTCACAATTAGAGCAAAAGTCGCCCGATGATACTGGATGTAATTACCAGCCAAAAGTCGTACTCAAATTAAACATGTTGTGGATTTACTCTCCAACACGCCGGGTGGGCTGAAGTTGTAACTAATTGACACGTTTTGTTTACGCCACAAACCTCACCGGTTGGCTGTGTCGGGTGGCGGCTAGTTAACGACGCATTTACGCGATCTAACCCAACCACCCCCCCCCCCGCCTTTATTATGAATAATATTGTTCGCGAAAGCCTACAGTGTCAAACTGGCCATGTCCGTACCTGTGTCTGGTCGCTGGAGGAGGAGCTCTCGGATGCGGTCGCTTGGAATGGCGAAGGAGATCCCTGCTGTCACCTTGAGGGTGTTGATGCCAACCACCTCGCCATCCTGCGGGTGAACATCACGCCACTCCGTTAGGTGGCGACGACACGGCCGAGCGGCCGAGTGGCCGCGCGTTTTGCCACGCTCTGCAGCGATTTTCAGTTCGAGCCCGGCGGCTGCCCTGTGTTAATACTGTGGGCGCATCAACGAAACAACAACAACAAAAGCGCCATCTGCTTCAAAGATGGACAGTAAAGGTCCTGTGGGAGGTTTTTTTCTCGAAAAAAAAACAGTCGGCCATGTGTGCAGGCGTCTCACAGTCCAAATTTCCCCCCCAAAAATTGGGAATAATTCGCAAATGACTCGAGGGTAAAGCCACAAAGCAACATCGTCCCCCTTCCCTTACTGTGAAATTACCACAGCTGGTACAGCACTCGTGTGTGAAACACAGCACCTCCACGATGGCCTTGCACTGTAAGAATGACGCGTACACCAAATGTACTCGTAGTTTGATTTGAATTACCGCCCCGTTATTAAATCACTACCACAGCGGGCCTCTCCACACAGGGCACGATGCTTATGTCAGTGGAGGAGCCTGCCAACGGTGGGGTCAGGCGGTTTCAGATTACTTACGGTGATTGCAGATTTTTATGCAGTTGACGGTTAAAACTTGTGCTCCATAATAGAGGGGTTTTTTTGGGTTAGATCGCGTAAATATAAAAATGTGTCGTTAAACCCGCCACCACCCGACACAGCCAACTAGTAAGCGTTGTCACGTAAACAGAACGTGCCAATTCGTCACTAGTACAGCACACCGGTGTGTTGTTCAAACCAAAACTTGTGCTACTCGTAAAATCAAACAGCGGTCTGTGAGCAACGCTGGTTCCGGGCAGCACTGTGATTGCAGAGTGTGACTCCACTGACTGATGTATCCCTCTGAAGTGGATAGACTATGAGTATATCCCGTGTGGAGACCAAACATTGGCTGCTGTTTGGAGTGAGGTGTGCATCCACTACGCGACTCAGGGATTGCCGCGCTTGGCTCAGGGCCGTAAGCGGGAGATGAACGCCAGCACGCGCCCCAGTTCCAGCGGCAAAACCAACGAAGCATTGAATAAATGCAGTATGACAATTTGAAGAAAAAGCCAAGGTAAGGGATGTTTATTGGATAATTATTGGAGAGAAAGTGGCATTTCACGATGAAGTTCTCCAACACTACCATCGTATGACAACTTTTGAATACTTTTGTTTGGGTCCTAAATGTTATTTCCAATTGTGATGACATGAGGTGAAGTATCCATTAGAATTTCCCACAGACCCGTGAAACCATTTGTGTTCGAGATGAGCCCATGTTAAGTAGATGTCGCAGAGCTACTTCTGGGAACGCCCTTCAAGTGACCATTGGTGCACACAGGAGGGAGCAGCACTTTACTAAACACTGGCCGACATCAATGTGTTTATTCTCAGCGCCTGGAATAATCGCCAAATTGACGAGCAGGCTAAGACCATCTACTCGCTACACTTGAGAACTCTAAGCTAAGATAAGGAACCCAGTTTGATCACAAGCGGCTACCTGCATTCGAACCCAGGCCCCAGTGGTGCCAGCTCAGCAACACACCAACCTGTGATCCACTCACTCGCCTCACATGATGGTTTTATTTAAAAATGCCACCTGAAAGTGTGATGGAATTCACAAGCGGTTCTTACCAGATTCACAAGGGGTCCTCCAGCACTCCCATACTTGATGTCCCAATGTGACAGAACAAGGAGCAGCAGTTACATGAAAAACAAAATATATTATTATTATAAATTATAATAACAAATACCGTGCGTGTTACTCGTTTAAATGATTATCATTTCTAATTCGCGAGATCATTCATGTCAGATATTGAGCTAAAGGTGGGGCTTAACTTAATAAATGTGTCCGGGTCAATGACCAGGGAAATATATTCCGGATCTGGAAAATCACATCCAGAATATTCTCGCTCTGGCTGTGGCAACGAGTTAAGTGCCGCCGACTCCAGGTAACCAACGAGCGGAAAAATATCCGGTTAGAATTAATCCCATGACTGAACACTTCATTTCAGGTCAAAGGGCCTCACTCACTTCAAATGAGCGTCACGCGATGCCTGTGGCGGTGACATAGCAGAACGGTAGGGGCATTCGCCGCTTGATGCGGAGGTGCCACGGTTCGACCCCACTGGCCACCCTGGCGAATACTGCAGGCTGTGCGTTACCGATCAACACGTGCTGCCTGCTTGACAGCGGACGTGAAAGATCCCGTGACGTTATTCTCACCACAATCAAAACTTGAAAAATGCATGCAAATGATTTCGTTTGGGTAAAGCTACGTCGCAAAGTCGTCGTCCCTACTGGCAGACGACGTTCGCCCGCGTCGCACAGTGCCTTCGGCGCGAACACCAAATGCAACTCTGATTATTATCTGATGTGCGTGTGCGCGTTTGCGCGCGTATGCGTGTGGCTGGCCGGCCTCACGTTGACCATGGCGTCGGTCTGGATGTAGTCGTGGTCCGAGTCGTCGAGGCCCAGCTCCTGGCCGCCGCGCTGTGCCGTGCTCACGATGCCGGTCGTCACCGTGTTCTGCAGCTTGAAGGGGCTGCCGATGGCCACGACGAACTCGCCAGGGCGCAGCTCGGCCGAGCGAGCGAGCCGCAGCACCGGCAGCTTTTGCTGTGACGGGAGAGGGGCGGCAGCGACGTCGGCCGAGCTCTTAAAGACTCAAGCGGCCGCACGAACCACCACGTGGCCGTTCGCTCGGCCCCCCCCGCCCCCCATGTCATTCATTAATACATTCATATTTTAATGTATTTATAAATGCTCTCACTTATCATTCTTATTATGTTTGCGTCGTCACCATTTCAGTCTTTTCTGTTTACAGGGCAGCTCAACTCGTCCTGCGTACGATGTTAAACTGCAAGCGGCGATTGTGGTGAAGTTGATTGTCTCGGTCCGGGCACCAATGACTGCACAATTAATAGGACCGTATAAAATTTGGTCATGCGCTTAATTGGGCTGAATTTAAGTTCTGGGAATGAAAATATTGGTTTAACTATTTTTCAAGAAGCATTTCTCTTCAGCAGGGTTAGTGGAAAATTCTTCCCTTGTGCATGAATAAGGGACCACTTGAGATTTCAGAAATATTTCCATGATATCTCCTTTCATGGATAAATCTCTCACAGAGGTTGATGGACTGCTCTGCAAACGTTCTGAATTGATTTCTGCCTCATGGAATGCCACCAATAGCCCAAATCGCATAAAGTCGGGGTAACACGTAACAAACAAGAAACTGAATATTACGATAGTGTCACCTACAAAAACACTGCTGATGAAGGCAACAGGAAACCACCTCAAACTGTCTGGTGTTGCAAATTGAAAAGGGAGTGGGGTGGTTCTGGGATCTGATGGGATAGGCGGAGCTTAAACCGGGGCCCTGCATCTGGGCAGAGAACTCAAACGAGAGATCTCGGCTAAGCAACCATCACCAAAATGTACAAAGATCCTGTCTGCCTGCTCACAGTAAGGGGCCACACCTCTCCCGCGCTTGCGGCGAAGCGGAATGCGAGAGTGGTCTCCCAGAAGCCCCCCAGTTTCACGGAGAGTGGAGCGCGCCATCGCACGAGCTTGCGGGCACCTGGGCGTTCGTCTTTTTTTCATAGGTTTTACATAATATAGAGGGGGGGGGGGGGTTTATCGGTTATATCGCGTAAATGCGAATGTGTCGTTAAACCCGCCACCACCCGTCGTTGTACCCTGATTGTAAACGTTGTGGATTTGTTCTCCAACACACCGGGTGCGCTGCACTCGAAACGAATTGGCGGGTTCTGTTAACGTGACAAACCTTACTAATTGGCCGTGTCGGGTGGTGGCGGGTTTAACGACACATTTATATTTATGCTATCTAACCCCCCCTCAACCCTCCAAAAAAACCTATATTATGGATGATATTGGTCGCGAAAGCCTACGTGTTAAAAATGTTTTCGTTGTATTTCAACACGAGGCCGATGCAGAGCATGCAACGCGACGTCCGTCCAAGGAGGTGCAGCAGAAACTCGGCGGTGTGACAAAAAGAACCAAAAATCCCACCTTGGCGTTGATCTTGATGACGGCGATGTTGGCGTGCATGTCGACGTGCAGCGGCCACGCCTCGTACGTGTCGCCGTTCGTGAGCTGCACCTTGACGGCCACCAAGTCGCGCTTGTGGGTGACCACGTGCGCGTTGGTGAGGATGAGGCCGTCCTCGGACACCAGGAAGCCCGAGCCGCTGGACACCGACACGTTGCGGTCGAACAGCAGGTGCCTGCGGGAGATCGGGGGCGGGGCGGGGGGTGGGGTGTCTCATCCATGTTTGTTCGTACGTATGTACGTTGGACGTCTACGTCGCCAAACCGCGCTAATCGGAGGTGTTCGATCATCACTCAAGGTCTGGGCGAATGGACCCAGGTTAAACCCATAGCTAGCCGAAGATTGCTGGAAGTGCCAAGGTCAAGGCCGCTTCATAATAATTCGCGTGTACAAACACGGAGGTGGTATTTGTCTTAGTTAATAGCTCTTTTTTGAAAGTGAAGACGATTATGAGTTAGAATATTCAGATTTGCAGTTGGAGACTATAATACATTTTCTGAAACTGTGATTGATTGAGAGCCAAAGGGATAACTATTAAAGGAGGCAACATTAATCATCTCAAATTTCCTGGCGGCATAGTCACTGTTTGCACCCGATGGAAATGTGAGAAGAATTTAATGATGAAGCCTGCACTGTTGGGCTCAGAATAGGTATGAGAAATACAACGTTCACGTGCAACAGTTTATATAAACGATTTGTAAATATCTCTCAGAGGGACGCAACTAGGAAAAAAAACAGCAGAATATGGATACCTCGGACAGCGATTTAAGGCGGAGATAAATCTAAAATATGAAATAAAGAGATAGACCAGAGTAGGTTGGAGTGCTTTGGAAAACTGAACTTGGCAATGAGAAGTAACGTAGCAATGTGCCGAAAGAATATATTTTAAATCAGTATGCACGACCCGCTATGACATATGGTTCAGAAATACGGTCATTTACAATTTTTTTAAACTAAAAGTGAAAAGTGCTCGACGAAGCAGGGAGAGAAGCGTGCATGGAATTTCTTTGAGAGACATGAAGAAGGAACACATTGATTGGAGAACGTACGCAGATTAATGACGTTTATTTAAAACAGATTAACAACAATCTTGATTTGAAGCTTTCGTGACTGCAGGAATCCATACTCTTTGGTTCTTCGGTAAAGTCACGTAGTAGGTAGAAAATTAATATATCACGACGTTTCGATCGCAACACAAGCACTCGTCATCAGGTGGGACAACCACAGCAAGAAACAATTGCTGAAGTAGCAGATTAAGAACGACGCAAATTAATGACAGCTTCGAATTGTTAATAAAAGTAAGGACACCTCGCTACAAGGGGTTAATGACCGAAGGTGAAGAATCGTGACGAACTGGTAGCCAAGATATAGACCGCGTCCAAGCGATTGTTCGCCCAGAGATGGAGCAATGAATTCTGCTTCTCTGTGTTGGTGCTTAGTGAATTGTTACATAATAAGATCGTGGATAATGACGGTGGCTTAGAATTGCCTTCATCCAGCAGTGGACTGACCATGATGATGATAAAATGCTTGTATATCATCAGGCAGAGCTAATCAGGATGGCGGCAATTTACTTTTAGGTCTATGCTTGTGACACCTCTACAAACATAATTAGACATTATATTTGGCTACATTCATAGTTTTTTTCTCTGAACAAAGTAAATACCTCCTTAATGCTGAACACGTGCCTCAACATTTGGCCGAGTGAGAGAGAAAAACAATTCCAGTCAGTAAATACAACTGAATAAGTAGTATTTATAGAATTATGAGATCTGCAGTGGTAATGCTCTAAATGTGTGCGTGTTTTTAGGAATACGATGTAAAGTGTTTTGATTGGAGGCGGAAAGTCCACCAGGGGGCTTGCGGCTGCCAAGATCACAGAGCAACGAATCCTAACTAAAACTTCCGAGAAGGGGCCTCTGTGATGATGGTGTTGACTGAAGTTACACAGATTTGTGCTGCACCACACGAAGCGCAACAATATGTGATCCATATTATTCCAGGTGTTTAAAGTCCTTGGTATGATATTACGAAAACCCTGTGGCATCTCAATGCCCTTTGGCTCGATCGGAATAAACGTGGATATCTGTGGAAACTTTTTGGACGGTATAAAAATATGAACGAATAAGAATAGGCTTTGCCATTTATGGGAATAACACGGGAGATGTTAAGATGTTCGAACACTAAATAGACGCACCTATTGCAAAGCCAACATGTCTGCATGAATCACACATACTTGTGTCAAAACATCCAAACAAGGAATATCTGGTAATATACGCATTGTCTTCGAAACCGCGTGTGGACTAAACGTGCATTTCAGCACGCACGCACTTTTACTTGCCCCAGAAATAAAACAAATCTAAATGTATTTGAAAGATTCGTAACAGTTGTGTTAAAGTTAGATCTAGATATTCTGTACATCCTCATGAATGATATAGCATTGAGAGGCCTTCATCAAGAAGTGTATTGACAAAGGGCTATACATTGTTTTTTTTAATTAATTATTTGAGTGGGGTATTAACTTTGCACTTTTATTTTTTATTTGATAAAAAGAACATCTTAAAATTAAGTATTGGCACAATACAAACACATTCCTGGATAAATGGTAGGAATTATTAGCTAACAATGATATCATGGTAATTGTGTTAGTAAAATAGAACTTTAATATAAACCTACTCGTTCCGGTGTTGTGACTCATATCCTGCGTTGGGTTCGCGTGAGTTATTTCTACGTGACAAATACCAATCTAAAAACATTGAGTCTTCTTACACGCGCGCGATTCAATGCCTCTAGCTGTTTGCTTAACAATCGATACGAGTCAATGAATCCACGCGTCATTTCACCGACATTGTGGCGGGCGGTTTGTTTCTTAGCTCGAGTCCTTGCGACTCCCTACACGGTACATCTTTTGTGATGACCACCCATCAGGTGCGTGCAGTGTAAACGGGAATAGAACATTTTACTTTGCAAAGGAACGGAACATATTGGTAATCATGAAAAAATGGGCCGTGGTGGATCGAGAGGAATGGAGTTAAGAAACACTGGCCTAACGCCACCATGATTCTGGTCGGCTCAACCAGGATACATGGTAAAGTGCCAACCCCTTCCTCTGTTAGCCCCACCAACATTTGTTAAGTTATTCTTGTTGTGCTCATGCACCACTTCCAATGCAGAATCACCCAATAACGTGGCTATTGAGCAGTGAGTCTCGCCCTTCGCACGCATTATGACTCAGGTATGAGGCAAATCGGTCTTATACCAGGACAAAATACAAATTTGAGCAAATTCTCTGGGACATCCATTGTGAAACCACCAGTACTGTCCTGACTAAACCAGGAAAATGAATTGCTTCGCTAATATGTAGGTATTTGTGGTTGTACTGGAAAGTTTTTGCTGCGTTTTCGTGCACTGTGTAATTGGGCCAGACGTCCACCATCCAGTGTTGCTGCACACGCTGGAAACTTCAACGACGCAGTTCCTGAAGAAGCTTCCAGCAGGTGGGCCGATGATATATATCGTGCCGAACAACAACAACAGGCAGCACAAAGACAAAGATCCCCAGTATAACCTGAACAGACTGTTGGGCCAAGTGCTGTTAGCGAGCACCTATGAAGGCCGGCACGGCACACGAGGGGGCGGGTGGCCAGCACCACGCCCAAGTGGCGATGATTTACACATCGCACCAGGTACTCATTTGAGGCTGAGTCGACCTAAGGGAGGCCCAAAACCGGTTCAGATAATCGTCACCGGTGTTCGCCATGAATGTGAATCGAACCCGGGTTTGCCAGGTTCCTGGCGCGGCACGCTACCACTCTGCGCAGTGTAAAGCTCAACAACAGGCAGTGCCGGACCCAGAAACACACACACACGCATCGGAGAGTTTTGGTAGCTTCGGGAGGTTCGGGTTATTCGCGCAGTGCGCGGCGGTGACGGCGTCACCTTGCGAGCAGCTCGACGTGCACCACGGCTCGCCGGGCCCGCTCCGTCACGTTCGCGATGAAGTTGAGCCTCTCCCGCACGCTGTCCGGGTTGGGCGCTCCTGCAAGGGCACAAAAAGATCCAAACCACGGTTATCAAAGTCCAGGCCAGGAATTATTGTTGAGCTCACTCAACAATATCTGTAACAATCCGATGAGTTACTTTATAAACATGGCACAGATTACGGAATATTCTGGAACATGTATCATTTCGTTCATTAGTGCACTTTTTGCTAATGTGTGATTATTTTAAATTACATTAAAATATATAATGAGATAGCTTTTGTATTTCTTCGCAAAGTCAACAAGATTAATAAGTTAACATTTTTGTGTCTAACATTTCACAGACTTTTTAGTGATGACAGGACACTCTTTTGCTTATCCATGATGATATTGTGGACACGTTTGGTGGATCCTATTAGCAATGACTATTGACAAAAATAATTCCACCTGCCCACAATATTATTTTCAGATGAATGTGGATAAAAGGATGAATTTGCCTAACAATTACATGGAAGAACGAATACTAGTGCTGAATCTAAATGCGGTTTCACTCTTTTGACTGTCTGAGAAACAATTAGACAGGAATTTACTGTTTAAATGCCAATAAACAGCATGAATCCCTTGGACATTGGCAAAGAGCACAGTTAGCTACTCCATAAGCCAAGTAACATTGCCACGAGGCGGCTTGTCGCAGAGTGATCTCCAGGTCAGCCAAGGAATGCCCGTCCCCAGCACACAACGCGAAAAATAAACACGAGCGTAAATACATCACATCCTTTCATTTTTCACCAACTTCATTCACAGCCATTTAAACGCGGATTCCTATCATACTTTACGCATTTCCATGGGCGTATGAACACATGCGAGCTTGCACTGCGGCGGCCTGCGAGGAGGCCACTTAAAGCCTTGGCAAATAGCTGCCTGGCTTACCGAGCAAAGAAGGCGGCGGTGCGTTCATGGAAAAGGGGCCTTAAAGCAGAGACCTCCAGACGCAGGGAAAATTGGACGGGAAGGATGCCCAGAGATGGGGTGGGGTTACCATGCACAGATGGCTCCGGTTGGGCACTTCATTGCTTTGACCGCAGTCACTGTGACCCCCTCCAAGTGTTGTTTGGCTCTCGAAAATGCGATACGGTTCCACAGATGTCTCAATAGAACAACACGGCGAAATTTACTCAAATCGTTTTTTGACAGCATTCCCATTTATAAACGCAAACAGAATAAGAATATTACGTCCGATGCCAACTTTAGCGAACCATTACAAAGTGCAGCACGGTGCCTTGAGAAGATGTGCTCCAATACAAACTGGGACTACGTCAAATAAGATTCTCCATGGAACGGTACGAACGTGGGCTGTGCTTTTTGTGGACTTAAGTGTGGGGGCTTAGCGGTAGGAGACAAATAAAGTGCACAAGCTCAAAAGGAACGAGTTACATGTTTTCACTCTCTCGGTAGAGGAATTTAAGAATGTTTATGCTGTAGTAGATGTTGTTGTTATGCTCCTTAAAGGGCCAAGTGCAGTTCACTTAAAAAAATTAACCAACATTTTCACACGCACAATGATTTATCTTGAGGTTTGCTGAAAATATTTCCGGTCAGTATCAAATAGTGGAAAAAGGGATCGTTTTTTTTACAGTGCGAGTATGTTGCAAGCATAAGGGCCCTCATATACACACACACACACCAGGGTTGCTGAAACACATTTAATTATGGGATATGAAAGAAAAAAAACACAGAAACAACGTTTATTAAACCAGCGGGCAACTAGAACCCTATTAGCCCGTTATTTTTCAGTTACCCACACCACGGAACTTCAGTGCAGGATACGTAACGTTACGACACGCCAAAAGTGAGTCAATGAAGCCCTGTTCTGTCATTCGCAAAACTTTCGATGCGGCAGTGTGACACTTCGAAGTTTCGAAGTACCGGACTATGTCATATTTGTACACGTACAATGGTGATGAGAGGCACATGCTCGAGAATGGATTTGCCTGCCACGTTTAAAAAAAACTAAGTTCTTGTTTACAAACGTTGCACGGCCGCACATAGACCACTCGCGTGATTTCAAAATACACACACATCTTAAAGATTCATTTCCACACATCCGCCGACCGTATAACGTTGAAACTTGGAAAGAGTTCAACTAACGGTGGCGTCACCGTATCTTTGAACATGTACATAGAGATGTTCGGAGAGCCGTTAAAAAAAAGCGATTGAACACGTTATATTGTAGTTTTAGAGATTTCCTGTGGAAGAAAACATTGAAATATTGTTTCAATGCCGAGAGGCGCGCGGCTGTAATCCACCACTGTGGAGACTAGGGTTGGTGGATCACACAAATGTCGTGACACTCCCATGGCCGTGACATACCCTGGCTTGCCAGGAGAGAGGCCAGTACAGCAAAGGTGGAGCTCACATCGGTGTGTCTGGACTGGAGCGAGTATTACCGCGCTCACACCCCGTGGGGTTTTCTCGGGGCGTTCCGGTGCCCTGTCACATCTCGGCACCCGTCAATCAGTCCTTACGTTGTACTACCACCAAGTGGGTTCACGTAACTCCTGTAAAGCCACTAGCGGCCGCCACGTTCATGAAACAACATCGATCCTTGAGTCTAATCGCAGTGCGACGGATGTGCGGGTGATAAAATATCAATCGCTCCACCTGTAACGATGACAATGGGCACGCAACCAAGCCCCCCACCCCCGCTCGACAGCCGCTTTTAAAACTCGCGCATACGACCATCACCAAATCAGCCAACCCACCACCCACACCGCACCGCTGACTCAGCGAGATGCCATCACATCATCGTCAGCAGTGCGGCGTGATTGTGTTGTGTGGCGGGGGTGTGTGGCTGACCTGTCTCACAGGAGCCGTTGAATATCGGGAAGAGTGAGCCTCCCGCCCCGGCGCCGAGCCGCCTCTGCTCGCTCCGCAGACGGCACACGGAGCCGTAGGTGCGTCCGTCGCTGGCGCACACGGCCACGCCGCGCAGAGCCGCGCACACGCACAACCCCTTGCCCCTGCTGCCCCAGAGCCTGGCCCCGGTCCTCGGCTCCTCTGCGTCCAGGGGCTCGCACTCGAGGCCCGCCGCGCAGCGGCGAGGCGAGCGAGGCGAGGCGGCTCGCAGGCACGGCTCCCCCTCCTGCGCTCCCGGGCGCGGGTCGGCCTCCTGCGCCGAGATGAGGAGGCACGGCACCAGCGACACGAGCAGCAGCAGCAGCGGCGGCGGCGGCAGCGGCGGCGGCACCAGGAGGGGCCACCCAGCTACCGCACCCCACGAGATCATCCTCCGTGGAACGAACGGACAATTAAGGAATCTAATGTTGTAAATGTAATATTCAGAACCGTTACGGACGACGCACGATACAAAGCAAAAAAATATATAAAAAGTTAAACTCGGGTGGAGAAATGTATTTCGCGCAGACGGCACTTTTTCAATCCTGCGCAATTTTTACGCAAAAAAATTCAAAGGTATTCTTCGCACGCGGCTCGGCTGCTGTGCGATATGGACAAGTTTGCTTGGGGGTTACTCCGTGTGCGAGTGATAAGCAAAGTGAATGTTTTTCTTTTTAACCGAATGCGAGGGGCCACGTGTGTGCGTGTGTGCGTGCGTGCCGGGATGTTACGACACAGCATGGGCCAAGCTGCTGTTGCTGCAAGCGCTTGGCCGAGAATATCGAGGGGCGGCTGGGTCACGGGACATGGACTCACATCCCACTGTTTATGTAAAAATGCCATGAGTTCGATTTCCCACGCTGTGGTCAGCTGATTTTATAAATATAAGTCATCCCATACGCATAAGCTTCGTGCGTGTGTTTATTTTGTCTCTTCCCCTACCTCTGTCTTAAATACGGTGATGGTGTTGTGTTGCTCTATCTACTGCTGCATAGGGACATATCCGTCCCACCCCCACCCGGTTTTGGCACCGCCGCCTCTCCAGTCCCTTGTGGATGATCCATCTTAATCTTGCACGTGTTGTTATTTCATGATCTGTCCTGCGCTAGGGCGTGCCGGCCTCTTGGGCGTTCCTTCTCTTGACGGACAATCTGTAAATGTCCCACCCAACCCCCCTTCTTTGAAACCGGACAGGGATGTATTGGCAATATTTCCACCGTTGTCAAAATTTGGCATGACTACTGGTGGAAATATGCTGCGCCTGCCTGTTAAAAATGTATTTTGCCTCCAAGGTCATAACGAATTTGATCGTTAATAACTATGTATTTAGGTCAGAGGCAGTGCATGTCCATAACATTAGGTCATTAGGATGATGGTCTATTTCCGAAGCGAATGGTGCGGATTCCAACCACACTTATTGCAGAACCATGTTTTTGTAACGCTGTATTAAGTTTATAACAATTTAGGTGCTAATGCACCAAGGACTGTTTTTCAATATTATTTATACTGTACAGTATTAGCACACTACAATCGGTGTTTCTCCCAATTAATAATGTTTATTGTTTAGTTCAGTTGTTCTTAACCTGGGGTGCAAGATGCTGTTTCTGGGAGTGCGAGACACGGTCAGATTTTTATTAGAAGGTAACTCATCGAAAAACAAATTAAGCACGGGCACGTAAGTATAACCACTTTGCTTCATCAAACCCTCTGTGTATTTATTAACGTTGTAAAATGTTCAAAGATTGAGAGTCAAAGGGGTGCAAGGCTGCAGTGACGTTTAAGAACCACTGGTTTAATTATTTATATAGAGAGCGCCATTCATGCAAATTGAATCTCAGAACACCGAGGAGTTGGCAGACAGGCGGTGGGTCACCCAGTGCCGTCAATCACCAAAACTCAATTTGTTCCCAATTGTTCCTCCCATTCTCATGGGAGAAACCATTTATTCCCATGCTTACGCTTTCCCGTCGCGAGACAAGTCATTATTCGTTCTAAAATCTCAGGGAGCAGCGAGCACGCCCGATGAATGTGTCGGAGAATAGCTCCGAGCGAAAGAGATCTAATCCTTCACATTTCTCCAAAATAAAATCCTTCAAGTGCCACTTTAGCCTTTCCGCAATAGGGGGCGCACTTTACACGTGACCTTGCAAAGAGGTTAAATCAAAGTCAAACCAATATAAAAAATATATATTTCAAGCTGATTTTTACCAACTTAAGTGTAAAATGAAATTTAACACGATAGTGGTTTTGTTTTCCTTCTCGTCGTTGGCGATGGAGTCGCAACCATCAACTCCCTACACTTGAGACTCCGCTCTATTCACGAACGGCTGCCCAGATTAGAAACCATATTTATCAGCGGTGCCGGCTCACAGCCAACAAAGCCCCCACGTCTTATATAATGACGTTGATTATACAGTATGGCATGTGGGGAGTGGAGTGGTTCGTCCAGTCTGCTATAATTCTGGCGACCTGACTTCTATTCTTGAGTATGGTAGCAATATGTTCAGGAGCTGAATGCTCAATGTTGTGGTCTGTCAGCCACGAGAGGGCTTCGGGAGAGAGTTCATGCAGTTTTGATAATTATTCCTCCTGTTCCGTTGACGGAGCACTGACTGCAGTCGTTTACGTTACGGGCCATAGTTTTGCTTCCTCGCCACGACTTGTTACATCAATGGGAGCAACATGTCAACCGGTCCTGCCACCTCCCCAACATGGTAATGTATGGTGGGGTAAATCAACCCTCGTGAACAGGGGTCGGCAACCAACATAACAAGAAGAGACATTTTTTTTAATTTTCGAATTCAGGTACAAAACTCAATATTTCGAGAGCCGTAATGCACGTGGTGAATACGTGCACACAAGTGTAGTGTAATAGCGCCGGCTGGGGGACAGCGCCAGCTGGTGGACAGTGGCGCTATTACATTACACAAGTGTAGTTGGCAACAATCACCAAAGCTCAATTTGATCCCAATTGTTCCCCCACTACACAGCGGCGCTATTACACCACACAAGTGCAGTGTAATAGCGCCGGCTGGTGGACAGCTGCAGCAACTGTCGTGGACCGACAGCGCACACGCCGGTGATGGTGTGCACGGTGTGTGGGCAGAGCGGAGGAACTGGGGCAAGGGTCATGGAGGACCCTGTCTGGAGGCCCCTGGAACCTGCTCGCGGGTTCGAGAAGGGAGGCGCGGTCAGGGCGGAGCCAGGCAGCGCTGGGAGCATTAAAGGAGCCAAAAGCGGGGGGCTCGAGGCTGCCGGTTCTGGGAATGGACTCGTCGTCGCTAAGCGTCTCCGATAGATATTGCGCTGCAAAGGATAGCAGTCAGCGCCGTCAGTGTTAGGCAGCTAGTGTAATGTGCAGGCTAGGCTGAGCTACTGTGGAGAGTGTGCGGACGAGACCGTGGAAGTTGTTAATAAAGAAGGTGCCTCCTAGAAACTCTGTCTCTGAATCGTTGACACTACACATACACACATACATACACACACATAAAAAACACACCGTCACGGAGTCGGGGAAGCCTTCATCCAGCAGTGGATTAAGGGGCTCTAAAGATGTGTTGTTATCATAAAGAATCAATGGAAATCAATTATATCTCTAGCTCTAGCTAAAGCTTCGAGGCAGTGAAAGCTCATATGGAAGCTAGAACTTCCATTCAAGCTAAAACAACTGCTGTATTATTATAATTATTGCCTTGCAGTTGTAATACACAAACTACACAACAAGTTTATAATTATGGCATTATGTAAATGTCCACGTTTCCACCAACTAGAATGCTGTAGTAATTAGTGACCAGGTCTCCTGCAAGTTTGAGATTGCTGAACAAGTAAATTCACAGAATTTCCCAAAATAGTAGATAACTCGCATCTTTAATGCACTACATTATATGCGTCACGCTTGTTTAAAGACGCCCAAGATAAGCATCCAGTTGCCATCCTAAATAATTGTACTACTATGCATATTAATCCCATGCCAAAGTTGGATTTTCAAGAGTTTATTTTATACGAAAACATCAGAAAATATCGAACAATTACAATACACATTTGTGTCCGTGATTCTATTTATAGACAATTGATGTTGTTCATAATATTAATCTCTGACAGTTACAGTACTGTGAAAACTCACGTCTTAATGTTTTTGTGTTAAACGTGATATTCTAAACTTAAAAAAAAGTTTCCACATCTGCCCTTGCATGTAAACATTGTCAGCCAGAGCTCAGACCTGGCATGCTGTTGAACGCTATGTAACTGCAATCATGCTTCCTTTGGTCTAGAATTTCACTTGTTATAAGCTATGTTATGTTATATTTTTTCATGCAACCATAGCAATGGTAATGTACAAGAGTGCGTGAGTCAACGTTGCCAGGATCCCGAGTGTGTACAGGATGCTGACCCTGAGCTGTCTGCGTGTGATACATCCCTCGTACAGAAAGAGAGAGGCGGTTTCATGCTTGCTAAGTTCCACCACATACAGAGGATTTCACTTTGTTTAAATAACTAGATTTTCATAAATAGCTGCAGGCGGTTTTAATGTCACGTCTAATAATTTTCTTCAACAATTTGAAACGTGCTCTCGAAGCTATTGGACTAAAGTTTTCCTCACCATAACATCTTGTTATAAGCTATGTTATGTTATATTTTTTTCAAACATCTCGTTTAGTGCTCACATTGATACATCAGCACGATCTGCTACTCTCAGGAAATTAAGCTGGGGTCACTTGTAAAAAGAGCCATTAATCCGTGGATATATCTTAAAATACATATAAAATATCATGTTATGGTTCTTTAAATTCTCCTTCACTTGAAGAGAATGTTTGTTTCATCTTGCACAATGCAAGTCAGAAAACTCAACAGAGCAATGTAAATGTACCTGACATTTAAGCAAAATGCAACACCATTCTAATTCAATCGGGATACATTGCATGATGGTTAAGCACACTGGACTTGTAATCCGGAGTTCAATCTTCCGGTGCAGCAGTTCAAACAACGGTGAAAGTTTCTTAAATTCCTCATCTCTCTCGGCCCAGAGTTAACGATCGGCAGGTGGCCTGTGGTGGGGTAATATGAGGGTACTGCTATTCTAAGATGTTTGGGTCGTGCGGAAGAGTCGGTCGAAACACCCTTAATAGGGGCTCTCCATACCTCCCTCTAGCTGAGGCCTTCCTGCCATCTTCATGGGTCACGTTGTATTTGGTTATTGACCAGCATGCACTGACTCTTGGTGTATAAACATAGTTTCACGTTTCTCAGAACCGAGCTTTTAATTCGCAATACGTAATGAAATTCTTGGAAAGCGTTTTCTAATACAATGTGAAGCCAATATTCGCCACAAAATTAATCGGAATGTTCGCTGTGTCACGTTCGGAACGAGGCTTTTGAAGTGTAACTGATGTTAAAAACATTTGTGTTAGCGACACCAAAACAACAAAGCCATTTAAAATAACATTGGCAAATTAAAACCTTCATGGTGATTTAGAGTATTTGTTCGGACAAATTGGAGAAAAAAAAACCGCGTGCTTTCTTCATTTCCACGTTGAATAAAAAAATGTCCTGTACCTGCCATGACACTTTCGCTTCACGACGTCACTGTGCCCCGTGCAGGTTCGAAGTTTGTTTCAGAATATAATCACAACCCACGGCTGCCCAGACTAAAGCATCCCCACCACCTCGACAATCACAGCTGCCAACCAGATATCTTTTTTGGTACATT